AGGATATGAGGATTCTGTGGAGGATTCGAATGTGTTGATATACAGTGGCCAAGGTGGTAATGCTAGCAACGATTTCAGGAGAGATAAGGAAATGAAGGATCAGAAGCTTGAAAGGGGTAATCTTGCTTTGGAGAAAAGTTTTGCATCGGGGTAATGATGTCAGAGTAATTCGAGGTTTAAAGGATGTATCTAATCCAACTGGGAAGGTATATGTCTATGATGGTCTATATAAAATTCACGAATCATGGGTCGACAAGGGGAAGAGTGGTTGCAATGTATTTAAGTATAAATTGGTAAGGTTACCTGGCCAGCCTGAAAGCATTTACCATTTGGAAATCAATTGAACAGTGGAAAGAAGAAAACTACTACTACTACGAGGGTTGGACTTATATTGCCTGACCTTACTTCCGGAGCTGAAAATTTACCTGTTTCCCTGGTAAATGATGTTGATGGTGAGAAAGGCCCTGCACACTTCACATATATTTCTAGCCTGCAGTATTCTAAACCGGTGAATCTTACAGAACCCTCTGATGGATGTCTCTGTATTGGTGGGTGTCTCCCTGGTAATTCCAATTGCTCTTGCATTAAGAAAAATGGAGATTTTCTCCCATATACTGCAAATGGGCTTCTTGTGAACCAAAAATCCTTACTGCATGAATGTGGTCCATCCTGTCAGTGCCCTCCTAATTGTCGGAATCGAGTGTCTCAAAGTGGCCTGAAAGTTCGTCTGGAGGTGTTTAGAACTAAGGATAAAGGTTGGGGTCTGCGGTCTTTGGATCCCATCCGCGCTGGTTCTTTGTTATGTGAATATGCAGGACAAGTTCTTACTATTTCTGGGGTAGAAGAAATGGGGGGTGATTATGAAGACGATTACATTTTCGATGCTACTCGTACCTGTCAGCCACTCGGGGTTCTGCCTGGTGATTCTACAGAGACTTCAAAGGCCCCATTTCCTCTAATTATAAGTGCAAATACTGCTGGAAATGTTGCTCGTTTTATGAATCACAGCTGTTCTCCAAATGTACTTTGGCAGCCAGTCTTAAGGGAAAACAAAAATGAGTCTGACCTCCATATTGCGTTTTACACGGTTGGACACATACCTCCTATGACAGAGTTAACATATGATTATGGGATGGTCCCTCAAGAGAAAGCATACCATAGGAAGAAAGTGTGCCTTTGCGGGTCAATAAAATGCAGAAGCTTCTTTTACTAATGGGTGTATCATATGAGGATGATCTTTGATAAATTATGCTTCTAGAAAAAGGTTAGAGACCTTCAGTTTCCTGACTGAGTTTATTTCTTACTATGATACTTTTTCTGTTTGTCTTGTTTTCTTGTTTTATCATATAAATGCTTCTTAAATTAACCGGACTTTAAAGAATGATTAAATCTTGAACGTAGCATGAATGATCATGAAAACAGTTTACGTTTGGCACTTAGTAGTGGTTTTACGGTTCATGTTATCATGAAATATGTTGATTTTGTATGAATATCTCACCTGTTTGAAGACAAAATATGTAGAAGGAACATTCTTTTCCTAAAATGTTGGTTCAGAAAATGTGTAAAGGATTCGATTCTGTGTGTTGTGTCTTGGTTGAATCAATTTTTGTTTCAGATTCCAAAGTAAAAGTTTGTCATTAACACCAGTCTAGTATTTGGCGTTCACTTGGGTCCTGTTTATCCATGATCCGTCTTTATTGTATATCCACATCCCTGCCACCTTCAGGCCAGCAATCCTTATCTTTATTGTTGAATCCTGTATTTAATAGTTCAATGCCATAGCCACCTATGCGTTAAATTTTCAAGGAACTGTCTTCACTTATTACACACTGCATGGTGAGAAGTGAGAATATCATAAACCAGACGCAGAAAAGTAAAACTAGGTCACAGCCCATCTGGCATTGATCTATTTGCGATAACAAGTTTTAGAGACAATGGGTTTGCTTGGAACTAACTAATTAGTGCAGTTCCATCCTTGTGATTAGTAGAATGCCATTTGGATCATTACTCACGTCCGTAAATATGAACGCTGCATCATAATTTAATGTTAGCATGATTAATGGATTTTTCCTTAAATTTAAGCTAAGTCATGAATGCCTTCCCGATCAACTAACTATACTTTTTCTGAGGAACCTTGATCTTACGTATCAGGATTGACAATCTTGTATCAAATTTTGTGTCTTGTAAACTTATATAATGTAACTATGTTGCTATGGGCATATATGATTTGCTCTATTTCCGTACTGACACTTCTCAGTGTCCAAATATTTATACGCGACTTCATGTTTTTTCTATTTAAATGAAGTTCTTACCCTTCCATATTGCCCTGTCCCTTGTGCAGTTGGTTTGTATTACTTGGCGGAAAGAAGGGGGTGATGCGGTATGTGTGTCCTTTTGCTGTTTTCATTACCTTGGAAGGCATCTGGTTTCACAGGTATTGAGGAACATCATACTTCCCCCTTGTGACTTTAGTTAATGGGCACATGCGAGATCCATTCTCAGCATTGTCAATGTACTATTAATGTATGAAGTTTGTAACATTAAAATTACTAGGAGATTTCCTGTGGATTAGTTTATTTACTTGTGTGTGGTTTCCTTTTTAGTGGAAAAGTAGGTTTCTTCTTTGTTTATTAACGACTTGCTTTGTGGAATCGGAGGACCTAAGCCCCATGTGCTTGTGCACAGGGTTATAAGCGCATTTGCTCTAGGGCATGCACCGGCTTCCATCTGTGCGTGGGCTCATTTTTTCCTTCAGGCCCCAAGCTTGTTAGACTGGAGACTGGTGACGGTTACTTGAGTCATGTACCCTAGGAGTAGGAGGTTAGTAGAGGTTCTTCTGGTAGAAGAAGAGGTTGTTGTGACTTGTACCCTAGGAGTAGGAGGTTGGTACTTACTGCTTGGGCATTTGTACGACGAGGTCTGCTTTAGGTGTGTGGTTGATCTGAAGTGAATTTAAGGTGAGTATCGGCATCGGTAATTTAGTGTCTACGATTCTACGGTACATTTTAATATTAGTGGGCGAATAAAATGATTTAGTGTTTTGCTTGGCCTCTCTCTCTCACTGATTCCCTCATGGTGAGTTTGGTTCGTCGACTATACTGGGGGCAGGACAGTAGCAGAAATTCTGTATGAGTTATTTTGTGCTAGTTTTATCACTTGGAAATTATGTATCTACATGTCGTTTTCAATTGTCACAGTTAGGTTGTCTTTCCAAGTCCAATGGGGCAGGCCGTCATAAATTCTGTATGAGTTATTTTCATTCATCTTTATAAGTTCCGATTCAAATATTGCATTTGCACCTTCGTTATGCCCTCCTAAGACAGGACTTATCTGTTTGATAGTCTTAAAGCAATATGATTAAAGTATTACTAAACGGGAGAATGACTTACATGTCACCGTGGTAGTGTTCCGTGACCCCTCTTGAATTTCTTTAAAACCAAAATTTGGATGAATTGAGTGAGGACTGACGTAAAAAAGAAGGTAGTGTGCTACATTTACCATCCACTTGTACCATTATTTATATTCCTTGTATCATCATTTGTACCGTTTTCCTAATAAAAGTAGGGTCCACCAATGGACGTGGATCCCATCTTTATAAGAGAGTTAGTATAAATGATGTACAACTAGATGACATTTTTGAAAAAGAAAACTAAAAGGGACTGTATATGTTATTTTTGTTTGGTTGGAAAGGACCAGACTTATCCGAAATCCAAAGATGATGTGGAATGTTGCAACCCATTACGTCGTCCGTCAGCCGGATAAACGGATGAATGTTGGGGTCCACGGGATAAGATCAAGACATTTTTCATGTATCCATCTCGGCACGTCATGAGTTTGGCCACTTCCAGCGGACAGTGCAAAACGTTCAAAAACCAATAATAACTAGTTTAATTCGTATAAAAACTCATCTCTAATCTATGACTGACTATAAATCTAGAGTCTAAGATCATCTGCAACCGAATAAGGGTCAAAGGATCATGTTTAGCCATATAGTCTTTCAATAAATTATATTTTAAGGAACAGTATCATACCATATTTTATACTATCTCCAACCGAAAGGGTCAAAGGGCTATAGGCGAAACATAATCCCCTTAATAATTTATTATTTTAATTGAATTAATATAGTTAATTAAATTAAACTACCATATTAAAATAAAATTTTCAAACATACTAAAATATAGTTATATAATCTTAATAATTTTTCGGATAGTATAGAGTGGTGAAAAGTATATGAAAAATGGTGTAGAAATAGTTTAGGTATTTATAGGGAAAAAATTAGAATTTTTTTTTTCTTTTTTAAATTCGTCCAAAAGAAAATTCCAACAACCTGATGTTAGCTAGTTGTTGCTAGCTGGCGTCATGCTGACGCTAGGTAGCTTTTGGAGGGCAAGTGGGCTGGGCTGGAAATGGCTAACCCGTTGGCCTAATTTAGGTGTTTTGGCCCGGTGAGGCCCAAAAGCCCTTTGGCCAAGTCGATTGGAGATGGCCTAACATGCCATTATTTGACTAAAGGGACATCAAGTTGGCCAAAAATAGCCCCCTCTTAGCCCTTTTTGGGTAGCTCTTTAATTGTAATAATTGATTTAAATCCTATACTTGAAAACATTCAACGGTCATTTAATTAAACTAACCAATAAATTTAAATTTAATAAATTATTAAAAGAGCTATATTTAACCTCATCGGTTGGGTTGGAAATGGTATATAAGTATGGCATGACACTAGTTATTAAAAATAATTTTTTTACAGTTCTATAATTCTGAACGGAGTTATATTAGAGATAAAGACACATGAATGGAGCCACAAAAGATTTTTCTTAAACAAAGCAAAATGGTTTGGTATCGGTTTTGCTTGCAATCCATTCCACTGAGCGAGCGAGCCCAATGAGTGCGCCACGGCTAGCTAGCTTCATTGCTTGCTTGGTGCATTGGCTTACGTGAAAGCAAGGCAAATCCCGGATGCTACTCTATATATATACACACATATATCTATAGGCTGTAGCACCAGATAGGGATACAGATACAGAATCATCGAGTCAACTCACTCTCCCTCTTGCCTCTTGGAAATATCGATTTTATAAACTAATCTTTCTTACTTTGATTGGAGTTGGAGACTTGGAGTCTTGGAGACCAAACAACCAAAAACCACCATCTTTCTGGGTATTCTGCTGGGTTTTTATTTATATATTTTTTTATTTTTTTATATGTAATTTGTAAATTCAGTAAATAGTAGCTTCAGTTGAATGAATTAATGGTTGGTGGAAGAAGTAATTCCTGTTAATTGTCTTAGTTTGATTGAGCTTCTGTGTATAGTATAGCTGCCTTAATTATATCTAATCTAATCTAATTACCTGAAACACCATTTTGCACTTTGTGTTTGTTCTTTCTGTTTGGTTAATTGGTAAGAATGTAACTAAATTATGTCGGAAATCGATACTTTATTAGGCTGTAGGCAGTAGTGGGTGTGCGAAGGGATCAATGGGTTCTTGCAAGTCCCCTCACGTTGTTCTTCTGCTACATGTCTTGCTTTGCTCTGTCTATCGTTGCTTTGCCATTGGAGTCGATGCAAACCAGACAGCAAACCTGCTTATCGATGCTTCTCAAGCATCCGCACGCCCAATATCTGACACGCTGTTTGGAATTTTCTTTGAGGTTGCGTTACTCATCTTTGGTTTCAGTTCCAATTACTTGAATTTCAGAATTGTGCAGAATTATCAGCTTTCTGAAAATTGTTCACTGCAGGAGATTAACCATGCTGGTGCTGGCGGGGTGTGGGCTGAGCTTGTAAGCAACAGAGGTTACTTCCAAACTCTCTGAACTCCAGCTAATAAAATAAGTGAAATTATAGCAAATGCAGGAAAATGTTTTCTCCACAAACTGTCCAGCAATATCAGATGTTTATCTTTGTGTTGCTAAGTAATGAATGTAGACCATTGATTAGGTTAATTGCAGCATGAACGTGTGATTCAAATTGTCTGGTGACACAAGCACTTCTTTCGCTAGCAAGAGAACATTACCAAACTATTTATAGTCAGCTTCTTTAAAGGGATCCCACCATTGCAGGATGTCTCACAGCATAATTGGAATGCTGTGAGAGAAATGAGTCCTCTTTGATTGTGTAGGACCGTTTGATTGTGTCAATGGAAATGAGTCCTCTTTGGTTTCCGTTGAAAAAATCAAAGAGGACTCATTTCCATTGACACGATCAAACGGTCCTACACAATCAAAGAGGACTCATTTCCAGTCTGAAAAGAAAAGGGATCGCATGTGGTCCCATCCGATCCTTCTTTCTATTGAGTTGTCTTACTTGGTTTTATATGTTTCTATCAGGTCACGCTTCAATGTGCAAATAGAGATGGACTAGGCTGTACTTCACCAAAATAAATTTTCTTGATGCAAAACCATTGTATTTTGAGTTAACAAGTGTTCTACCGCTTGTGCAAGTGTGGTTGGTGGACGACAATCAAGAAATTTTCTCCTTTTTGTATGACACCTATTTCCTTCTTTACCTATCTGACTCTCTGCATTGAATACTACCACCAGATCCCTCTTTTTTTCAACCCTTCGATTTTTTCCCCTGCCTTGTCAGTTTTAAGTTTGTTTGAGATGTCGGAATGAGTTTGGATTATTCAGTATGAGGTTACCGAGTTTTTGTTGGAAATTCTGCATTCACATACAGAGAGAAGAAATATTTTGTATCAAAGATTATAATGAGCTATCCTGCTTTGTTATGTTAACTGTATGCTTAAAGCTGGGCTTCTCATTAATTTTCTCCCACAGGTTTTGAAGCTGGGGGCCCTAACACTCCTTCTAACATTGATCCTTGGGCGATAATTGGCAATGAGTCCTCTTTGATTGTGTCAACGGACCGTTCATCATGCTTTGACCGCAATAAGGTTGCACTCCGAATGGAGGTGCTATGTGACACCCAAGGCGCCAATAGCTGCCCTGCTGGGGGTGTTGGAATTTATAACCCTGGGTTCTGGGGCATGGTATGAACTTTTACACCTAATCTGAATGGGTTCAGTTTTCCACCTAGTGCTTTAGTTCTCCCATTTACAAGTTGGGAAAAGTTTCCCCTTTGTCCATTTGCGAGGGTTTTTTTGGGCAGTAATGTTATTCGCTGTAATGCCTAACCTTCACAACTTACATGCACACATATGGAAATGTTCTCTTGACAGACTGGCTAGCAACCTAAGCTGTGAACTTGACCATTCATCAAATTGATTTTGCCAGAATTTGTGGTCCAGATTCATGGTTTAGCAACACGACCATTTTTATCGCAAGATAATACACACACACAACTACAACTACTGCATATTTTCCTTTTTGCTCTTTTGTACGGTCTTTTTATTTATGTTTTTTGTTCAGAATATAGAAAAAGGGAAGACATACAATGCTGTTCTTTATGTTCGTTCATCTGGATCAATCAATGTATCCGTATCACTGACAGGCTCAGATGGGTTGCAGAAACTTGCTGCTGCGAACATTATGTATGCACCTCTCTTCTCAGATATTTTGCAATCAACAGTTTCTTACTAAATTTTTTTTATTCTGCATTTAAGATTCATTTCCATTTTCGTTGCCTATGCAGTGCTTCTGGTTCTGAAGTTTCAAACTGGACAAAATTCGAGGTTCAGTTGAAAGCCCAAGGAACAAATCCTAACTCAAGACTGCAATTGACAACAACCAGTAAAGGGGTGATATGGTTTGATCAAGTGTCAGCCATTCCCTTGGATACATATAAGGTACCCTTTTTTTTCCCCTTGTTTTCCAAGGTCATTACAAATTACAAATATAAGGTTTTCTCCTGTGATTCTACGGTAGAGATAACTTCATTTCTTTCCAACTGAGATTGTTGTGTTCCATAGTTCACCTCTTTATTCATTGTCCGGTTGCTTGGGTGTTATGGATAAAGTTGTGTGAGGAAGGAAAAGAATGCACTCTTGAGGCATTTTTTTTTTCTTGGTGTTTTATAATTGGAAAGCTGTGGTAATCTAATCTAGTTGTTGTGGCTTGACCTTGTATCCTTTGTTTTCATACCTTGTCTATGTTATTTTGTGCTTTTTTATTAGTAAAATTACGTTCTTATAAATAAATGGAATTGTTATTGCCACTCCAAACTTTCTATGTTTAAAATAATCCTAAATGGTTTAACTTAGATTTTACTCTTCTTCCTTTCCTTTTTTTTTTTTTTTTTTTTTTGAAATTGGTCATGCTAACTTGTAAAGAACTTATTGATATCCTTATACAACTTATTACTCATTATGAATCTATTATTTTGGCCTAGGGACATGGATTTCGGAAGGACCTTGTCCAAATGTTGGCTGATTTAAAACCTCGGTTTTTCAGATTTCCAGGTAAATCTGGATTTACAACTTGATACTTGACTGCTGCTAAACTTGAGCTCTTCATATGTAATTCTCACTTAAAATATATGGGAGCTGAAATATGCAAGCCGTAGTGGGGACACCTTGCCTAAACTGTTGATATATGATTTAGTAGTGAATTTTCAAGGTTGGAAAGTATTAATGATCTTACAGAAATATATTGTTGATGAAGAAATAAACACTGTTTATATTAGCTTTATTGCTTGCAAATTAGTTACAATCATACTAAGAGGGCGGTATTTTCTATGAATAATGTGAAGAAAACATCTATGCTATGGCAGGTCAATTGATGAACTGTATGTACATATGTATTTTTGTGTGTGTGATCACAAAGTTACGATACAACACTTGCCAAACTTAAAAGCTCATGAAGGATGATTACTTATCAAACGGAAGTTTATTATTTCCAATCCTGACGTTTATGTATGTATATTATGAGTTCAAACTGTTTTTTATACTCCCTAATGTACCCTCAAAGTAAATTAGGCTCCAAAATTGATGGAAGATTCTAGGTTTGACATTTTCGTTGCCGAGGTTCATGTTTTTCATATGTTTTAACTATATTATCACATAAGGCATCTATGATGGTTCATTTTCTTTCATATTTGCATTTGGTTACATGCTCTTTAGTGACACCTATCCATTATGCTTAATTTTCTCAATCCTCTTAGCAATGAACACTTCACAGAGCAAAGTTTAGCAAAATATTTAATAAATTAAAAAAATCTTTGTTTTTTTCAAAAACAATAAGGAGATCTTTATAAAACAAGCTCAAATAGAAGTAATCTTGTCCTTCTTTGCCTGCTATCAATTTTTTTCTGCAGATATAAAATTACATTCACCGTTTTCTTTGAACTTCTAATTTTTTTCGATTTTGAACATGATATTTTTTTTTTCTTATTCCGGAACCTTAATGCTTGGTGTCATATTTTTTTTTCCTTATTCCGGAACCTTAATGCTTGGTGTCCTGACCTCTTGACAAAGATAATCTGGGGAAGCTTAATTAAATTCCAAACAGTGCTAAGAATCCTTGATTTTTCTGTAAATAGATAAGTCTTATATATCCACTAGTTCCTTAGAATTCAACCTAATACAGTTGGCTTTTATATTTGTGTTGGTTAGGTGGCTGTTTCGTTGAAGGTGAATGGTTACGCAATGCATTTCGTTGGAAAGAAACAATTGGACCCTGGGAAGAGAGACCTGGACACTTTGGTGATGTTTGGATGTACTGGACTGACGATGGACTTGGTTATTTTGAGTTTCTCCAAGTAGGTATCTTGTTGTTGTTGTGGAATGATCGGGGTTCCCAGTTAATGCTGCTACTCAATGTAACAATTAGTAAAGAAAACTTTTGTTTCTGCAGCTATCAGAGGACCTTGGCTCATTGCCAATATGGGTGTTCAATAACGGTACACATTTCATAAACGCTTTATATCATCACATATGTATGTCATTATTAACTTTCTCAATTTGTAGGAATCAGTCACAATGATCAAGTTGATACTTCCAGTGTCTTACCATTTGTACAGGTATGCCTGAACAGCTGCCCATTTCTCTGTAACTAATGAGTAATTGGCTCACTGTTACCAAAATTGATATATCATCACATTAAGGGGTGGTTTGGGAGTGAGGTGCTTAAAAAAAAGCACCCATGAAAAAAAGCTGTGAGGGTTTTAGGTGTTTGGTAAACTAAAAAAAAATGGCTTATTTTGGAAGCTGCTGTGAGAATAAGCTGAAATCAAAGGAAAAAGCTAAAGCTGCTATTTGCAGCTTTGGAAAACTGGATTTTTTTCAAAGCACACGGAGCTGCAGTGCTCCTTTAATGAAAAGACCCACTATCAGACTACTTTTTTTTCCAAAAGCACTTTTACAAAAAAGTTTACCAAACACTCTGCTGATTTATTTTACAACCGCTTATTCTCACAGCAGCTTTTTTTTCAAAGCACAGCAATACCAAACCAGCCCTAACTACTTTATCTATGTTATATCTTCTCAATTGAAGTGAATATATGCCGATGACACAGTTTTTCAAATTAAGTTTAAGCCTTGAAAATGAACGACTTCGCTTTATGTGCTTTGGTATAAGACACATAAGATTTGCCAAATATGATATGAAGATATCAAATTTAGTCGTTTTTTTTTCGGTTTTCAAGTGACTTCACTGTTCTCAAAGCCCAACTTCATTATTCACATAGGAGGATGTACACCACTAAAATGTATTGTCTCTTCAGAAGCCAAGTAGGGTTGCTTTGGCAAGAGTAGGGCAGAGCTTCGAGCCCCATATTGCCACTCAAGGAGTACATCAAACATTGTGACAAACTGCAGTACAAAGCATGTGGTGCATTGTTTGTTACTAGGAATCTCTGCAATATGCTCTAACTTCTCAATGATTTTATTATAAATATCAGTTGTATATATCTGTTGAATGCTGGTTTAGTGCATAAACGAGAAGAACCACACACAAAATAAATGTTTTTGTGTCAATATCAGATAACTATTGTTATTCAATTCTCAGTCTTGTTATTTATGCATTGTATGTGCTGATAGATCTCAAATTTATGGATTACCTTTCACATTTCTTGTTTACAGGAAGCTCTCGATGGTATAGAATTTGCTAGAGGCAGTCCTAATTCCACATGGGGTTCTCTTCGTGCTGCAATGGGACACCCAGAACCCTTTGACTTGAGATATGTTGCTATAGGGAATGAGGATTGTGGAAAAAAGAACTACCGAGGTTTGTATGTTTTGTAGTTCATGCTTCTTGTTGAGATGGAACTGATTGATTATTATCAGTGTTTTAAAAGACTCGCCTCGGGGCACGCCTAGGCGGCCTTGGAGGCGGGGCTGCAGCATTTTTGTCTCTGTTTTGTGGGAGCCTGTTTTGTGCAGCATTGTCAAGACTTATGCTTTCCCTCTTTCTCTTGACCAGGAAATTACCTTAAGTTCTATAGTGCTATAAGAAACGCCTATCCTGACATCAAAATGATTTCAAACTGCGACGGTTCTTCTCGTCAGTTGGATCATCCAGCCGATATGTATGATTTTCATGTAAATATCATAACACCGCTACTTGTATTCCAGTTGACAATAATCTTCTTTACGATTCGACGTATGGGGCCATTGAAGATTTGGCTACATGGATAACATTTGCGATAGTCCTCTTACCTTCTGTTTTTGCTTAGATCTATACATCTGCCAGCAACTTGTTTTCTATGGCCAATCATTTTGATCACACGTCACGTAACGGCCCCAAGGTAGTTCATTAGCTTTTGTATGATTTAATCTGCTCTAAGTTCCTACCTGTTTTTCCATTCTTAGTATTCAATATGATCCAGGCTTTTGTGAGCGAGTATGCCGTGACTGGAAAAGATGCTGGGAGAGGAAGTCTTCTAGCAGCATTAGCTGAAGCTGGATTTCTTATTGGACTGGAGAAAAACAGGTCTGTTGTGCATATGTTCTACAAAACATTAAAGATCGGACTTCTTTATATCTATTTGCAAGTACGGTATTTCTTCTTGAAAAAGTGTATATCGTTCCTGCATTTCTGCATGTCACAACCACGTAGTTTGTTACTAGATCTCCTTGCGTAAGACCAGCTGCACATGTTTTCTTTGCATTCGAAACTTTCTGGTATTTCCCAACCCAATCCAATAGAAATAGTACTGAACTGACTAAGAGATGGAAAGTCCTTGGAGGTGGTCTGGGAATCTGATAAATAAAGATGGTATTCATGAAAGAGTTCTCAGTGGCATGGATAATTGAATAAATTTAAAGTTGGAGGATGCCCCGATATACCTGTAGCATAGGATTTCACCGTGATACTACTAAAATATGTAGAAATCACAGTTTCCCATCATAATTTCACTGTAATTCTTTATAACTCCTTCCCTAACCGTTTTTATATGTACACCGGGATTCTGGGGTTGTCTCATCTTTACATCTAATTTTAGCAAAAGTATATATCTGTAATTGTTAAAATGGCAGCTATTGAGTACTTATTTTTGTCTGTTTACATACGAATGCAGTGATATTGTTGAGATGGCAAGCTATGCACCACTCTTTGTCAATACCCATGACAGGCGGTATACTTTTCCTCTCGTTCCTTTTGTATAATGTAACATTGTAACTTTTATGTATTACGGTGGATTGATGCTGTTTTCGAAAGAGGATCGGATCAATGCTGTTTATTATTACTAAAATTGAAACTTTTCTTTCATCAAGGTGGAATCCGGATGCAATTGTCTTCGACTCCTCACAGCTCTACGGGACTCCTAGCTACTGGGTGCAATGTCTGTTCAACGAATCTAGTGGAGCAACTCTTTACAACTCAACACTCCAAACGAATTCTTCTACTTCACTTCTTGCATCTGCAATTTCGTGGCAAAATTCAGAAAACGAGAATACTTACCTGAGAATAAAGGTATTACTTTTTTATGCTTAATTGAGTTTGTAGCTTATAAGATGTCGATACCATTAAAGTGTTTGTAGCCATCTAATATTAACGTACTTGGAATGCCTAGAACGGAAACAAACAAGCTCGTTTATCACATTGCTCTTAAACTCGTATGTTGTTTGTTGCTTCAGAATAGCGTATGTTATTCTTTGTCTGGAGTATTCTACTCTTTATTTTCGTTATAAATACGTATCTTGTCTATTTTTTCTTCATTTCTGCTCAGCTTTGGAATTCCGTACATATCTTGACTGAAGCAACTAAATGTTAACCGCTTCATCTATCACCGAGTTAAAATACGGTTTCTACCACTATGATCGTATTCTGTTACGTTTTATTACTCTGATGATTATTGCCCTTGTCCAGGTTGTGAATTTGGGAACCTACACAGTGAATCTGAAGGTTTTGTGGATGGGTTGGAGCCAAATTCCGTTAGTCTGTCTGGGTCAACAAAAACTGTGCTTACATCAAACAACCAGATGGACGAGAATTCGTTTAACGAGCCAAAGAAGGTAACCGAATCGACCTTTGTAACGTTACTATTTTCGTCTTTCATATCCTTGTGTTGCCTGCATGTGAGGATGAGAAATCGACGATGATATGATTTTAATAGGCCTTACTTGAATGCAGGTGATACCCAAACGGAGCCTGCTAGAGTCCGCGGGTGAGGAAATGGAGGTTGTAATCTCTCCGCGTTCATTCACCTCCATTGATTTGTTAATGGAATCGAGCGATGTCATCAGGACTACTGGAGCTGATTCTGTCTCTGTATCTTCTATTTAAACTCCATTGATTTGTTAATGGAATCGAGCGATGTCATCCATTGATTTGTTAATGGAATCGAGCGATGTCATCAGGACTACCGGAGCTGATTCTGTCTCTGTATCTTCTATTTTAAACATCGAATGGCATGTAGTATGTGGTCAGTCGAGTGACTCAAGTAACTTCACAGTCCCAGTGTAATCAAATACAAACTAATCCAATGTAATTATATGAAATAATCCAACTACAACGGTTTATCTTTGTTGGAACCGCTAATCACACCTTACAGTAGTCAACTCGACAAATAAGCTATGAAAATGCGGTCGCTGGAAAATCCGGTGTTTGTAGCAGTAACAAACTAGGGAAGAAGATGCGAACGAAATATGAGAGGGTAGGTGCAGCAAAATCCACTACTCCAACACTAGAAAAGTAAAGCACTAGTTAGTCTAAACTTGCATCATTTTATTTTCAAGAAAACCAATACAAATACGCTCCGACAGATGGGAATCATGAACAAGAGTTCCAAGTACATGTGATGGGGCAAAGCACACTACATTTAACTAGGACTTACCACAAAAAGCAATGGTCCCTGTTTAAACTTGTCATGAAATGAAAATGCCACAGGTTTTGGATCGTCACCGGGTCCTCTAATAAACCCACTGAATTTATATCATGGTAAATCGTTAGTAACAATTCAGCATTCGGCTAATGTTTTAAAAGAAAAGAAAATAAATAATTGTTAAATAATCAACTCACATCAATGTTGCAGATATTAGAGGAGTCCTCCTAACGTCGTAAATGGCAATAAGACCCCTGTATAAGTCACCGCCGTCTTTAAAAGATAAAGCCAATCGCTCTCCTGAAGCATCCCAAGCTATCTTCTCAATGCCTTGACTGAAGGAGACAACAACAACATATCAGGACTGTCTTGGACAAACATTACAATGCCTACCCCGAGGTTTACTGATATGCAACTATAACGTGAAATAATAAACTTTAAAGCTTTTCTGCAATTATCAGTTTGAGGACTGGTTAGTCAGATCAATATTCCATCCTCATGAAGAATGTTTAATCTCGTCCTAACTGAAACAGAAACAGAAAGAGCAGGCAGGAACATAATATGGTAGAAAGAAGAGTGGAAGGATGAAAACGATTGCAAACTGGAACCTTAAATCTATTCGTTTACATATCGAGCAATATGAATAGCGTATATCAATATGCTGGGTGAGGGATGGTAAATGTGATGGGTGAATTGACAAAGTAAGATTTAATGCAGTAAGCATTATAAGCACTCCGAAACAGACTCTAGAAAACCCGACTTCACCTCTGACTACCTAATAAAGGCTGCTGGCTACTAGACAGTTCATAAATTAAGAAAGTTAACATGGATACCATAAAAATAATGAAAAATAATAATAAAATTAACTAGATTCCGACATCCAACTTGTCAAGAAATAATGCCATATAAAATTGTCTTTAACAATGAACTCGTAAAGAAAGCCTATTAAATGAGATGTAGCCGATCAAACAATCATAGAGCAATCAGAATAGTGAAAAATAGAAACAATAAAAATGATTTAATGTCGACCTATTTGTTAAGGACATCATCTCTGGTAGTTCAACAGGTAATAAGTGCGCATCTGCAAAATTCAAAGCAAGATTCAGGATAGCGTGTAAAAAACTGTCATCTGTCATGACACTATTGACATTTGTTTCAAAATCAATTTTCACTAGTTCTATTTCCCCTTGACAACCATCACATTACCAATCTGTCAAAAAGAACAGAGTCTGTACATGAAAATGCTTCTTTAAAAGATAACAGTCAGTATTAGCGCCGAAGGAGTACGCTGCTCACACCAAGCAAGGAAATGTATTCAGAGAATTTTAATTCTTTTGAAATAAAGAAATCTTCGACTGAGGGATATCGCGGTGCAGATTGTGCAGGTTCTCCAACAAAGAACATCACAACTGCCTACACACTAAAGTGGCATCAGAAAATGTTTTGACTCATTTATCCCCACTGAAAAATATTTAGCTGACGTCTTCACTAAGGCATATCAAAAGACTTTTATTCTACTTGCACCAAGCTGAGAGTCAAGTTCTATACTCATACTTCCGAAGTGTCGTTACTGCATGAAATTATAATTAAATTACTTGATTTAACCTCCTGATTTCTTAAGTTAACAGACTTTGTAATTGCTTATTAGCTTAATTTAGGGGTTGAATTCTACAGCAGATTTTCATGGAGATTTGATTCTATATTTTTTTAAAAGCTCGTGAATTCCATTCCTTTTGCAATACAATAAATATATTGTTCTCCCTTTCTGAAGTTTTCCTTTTCATAATCATAGATCTTAATGACAAATGCAATATTCAATCTTTGCATATCTTAATAACACTAGACGATACCAAGTACTAACTCAAGTCAAGTAGATATCAGCTTAATATCAAAAGCTTCCTCCAAAGCATTAAACTATTGTTGCTAAGCTTTTTCTCACATTTCATCTTCTATATCCAGTTTTACTTTCTTTCCGAGATTTCTATTTCTAGTTTCCACTAGAAATAGGAGAACCTTAACTTATTATGCAAGACAATAAATAGAGATAATAAGGCACTAGATGTCAATAACTAAAACATAGCTTTTATGTAAGGTTGCATACCAAGTGATGGAGGCTTTGATGCAAAGTGAATGGAACCCAATGTTGAAGATTTAGAGAAAGCGAGAAGTATCATACACCCATCAGGATCCCATGATGCTCCCTAGTATAACAAGACACAATGAGTATAAGTATAAATAAAAAAATAAAACTTCAACCATTATAGTACTTTCTGCTGCCTTTAAATGAGCTTCATGAGTGAGTAATTAGTCATATGAGAGAGAGAGAGAGGTGTAAAATGTTTAGACCAACATAGTACTAAAATTCAAAACTCTTGCAAGGAATTTGAAGTGGCCGCTTTAATATTTCTATGCAACACAAAGTGGACAAAAAACCAGAGCAAAGAAAATACAGAATAATGGCCCATAGGCTGACACCTCAATCATCAAAATGTTTTCATAGCAGTATGAGGTCATCTATTTAGAAAATAAAGACAAAAAATTGTGTGCAACAAGAAGTTAGTTAGACTTAGATGTCAATTTTGCTTACCTTGACGAAGCCGCTAGTTGAAGACCATGGTTCAGATGTCCATGTGTTTGTCTCCCAAAGATAAAATGTTCCATCACTGAAAAGAACAGAAGGATCATCTTATTCATCCTAAACTGGTCCCATTTTCAACTAAGATTATGAAAATGAAAGTGTAAATAATCAAATCATGACATTACAATTTTGCTGAAAAAAAGTAATCCCCAGTTGGTGACCACTTCAGCATTGATATGCCACCTAGTCCTCGTCTAATAGGAGTACCAAGCCCTGAGAAAACATTTAAGCAAATGAAATCATAAGTTTCAAAATAAGAGTTTACTTTTTCTGCTTCAAGAAATAAAACCATCTCAAAAATAATAGATCCTGGATCCCGGATAGAGTGGTTTGGGGATGAGGCGCTGGGACAGATCCGTATTTATTCACTCAATATCAATAATGCTAGTCTGCTCAAGTACAAGCAGCTTTTAGAAAGTACTTCCTGTAATGTTTTGTAAAAGTACCAAAAACACAGCAAAAGCACAAGAAAAAGAACCTAGGCAAACCACCAAAATAATATATTTCTTTTTTAAAAGAAAAGTAAAAGAAAAGCACATGCCAGCTGTTAAAAGCAGTATCAAATGAGGTCTTTGCCTTTTCACTGTTTTTGCCCAATTTTCTGAGTATCTACCAAACAATTTATTGAAAAGGATTCATTACCAGTTTACTAACCAATGTCAGTTCTCCATCAGTATGTGCAACTTTTTATGATTAAGTCACAAATACTTGAGGTTCAAGTTGAGCAAAACGTAGATCAGATCAAGTTAGTTTGAAAGAAAAACAAAATCAATAAATTAGCTACAATGTGTCACTTTACAGTGACATGCATGTTTTAACATGAATGTGTGTAACATATACATAATATATATATGTGTGTGTGTGTGTGTGTGTGTGTGTGTGTGTGTGTGTATCACAGTCTTTAAGGGAAGAAATCCCCTTTTTTTATCAAAAAATAGGGATTAGTTGTGGGGCGCACGCCACATCGAACTTCAATGATCCGAACCGTCTATTTTTCAAGTTGCACCTTAAAGATATCCTTGCAAAATATTAACCAAATCGGAAATATTTGTGGCATCTAATTGAGTTCAAAGAAATTGACGAACACTGTGTTCTTATAAACATTGAAATTTCATCATGACAATAAATAGGCAAATGATTTCGGATTGAAATGAATTTTTGCAAGGATGATCTATGAATCAAGACTTACAAAATAGACAGTTCGGATCGTTGAAATTCGATGTGGAGTGAGTCCCATAACTAGTCAGAAAATGAGGATCCCTTCCCTTAAAGGGCCTGGACAAAAAGAAAAGCCAGCAGAGAAACAATGGAACTAAGATTATCCCGGTGCAGAAACAAACAGATAGCTGAGAAAGATCAACCCCGGAACTCTTTGGATAGAGAGGCCCATAGCACGGACCAAAAACTGAACTTTTTCTTTAAAGCTCCTTAGCACCTACGCTGACCTAATCTTTTAAGACCCTTATATTTCTCTCCATCAAACCACCCAAATCATAGCAAAAATCAAACAGCCCCATATGATTTTGGCTTTCTTACCTCCCAAAACAACTTAGGATTTCACAAAGAAAGGAAAACCAACCACTTAGGATGACCCAACTTATTTGCATCTCCCTGAACAGCTTATGCCACATACAATGTCAAGGGGCAATGCTAGAAAGTATGATCAACCAATTCCATATTCTTCTTACACATAACACCAATTGGGGACAAACAAGAATTTGGCCTTCTTCTTTGGACCACGTGACAAGTATTCACCTTACCATCAGACACAAGCCAAGACAGAATCATCACCCAGGAAAGAGCTCTAGATTTCCAGATCAAACCTTAGGGGTGAAATGAAGGCGCTGAGCCTGAATTACAAAGGTAGGAGAAATAAGACTTACTGGGAATCTAGACGCCACTTTCTTAAATCAATCCTTGAGAGTGAATGGCAACATTTTCAGGACCACCCAATAAAGAAGATGACTCTTCCACCTAGGCCTCATTCAACTTTTCCTTAAACCAAAATTCCAGTTCCTCAAACCACTAGAACAGTCGAGGATGCTATAAATGGCTTTAATTCGGAAACCTGGACACATT